ATATATATGTATATATATATACTATATATATAACATTAACATTAAACCAGATTGAAATTATATTTATTATATAATTATACACATATATATATACATATATATATAAAATTCGATCTGGTTTTTCTTATTTTTTTCCACTTCTCTGCTGAAATTCCCCATCCATTCATTTTTTTCCCATCTGTCCCTATTTAAGATAGATACTTTAAATTCTTTTCCGCTAATTCTTGTATCTGTATCATCTGTGATTTGCTTCTGCTGCTGCTTTTCCTTGGTTATGAGTCCTATTCCTGCCTCCTCACAGGTTTTGGATTTTATTATTGCATCCTGGAAATTATATACAGAAGAAAAGTGAGAATTGAAGAATGATACTGATTGTTTCTTTCCCCCAGAAATGTCAAGTTCTGCTCTCATCTGCTGGCTAAAGCAAGGAAGTGATTATTCAGATTTCAGCAAGTGTTCATTTGACTGGGGCTGATCTGTGGGTCACCTCTGGTCAGCCCCACCTCTCCCACCCAGCTTATGCAGGAAGGGGTAGTCTCCTAATTCTTAGGGTTGGATTTGGGATTCCTCGATTTGGGTGACTGGGAGAATGTGAGAGACTGTGCAGATGGAATGATCTCTTTCTGCTTCTCAGTCCTGCCTTCATTTGTGTTTTTCCCAGCAAATTTGGGGGTGGGGTGGAGAGGACTATCATCCTCTGTTGAGCATATTATTATTGTACGTGATAGTATTTCAGACTCCAGGACATCCCAGCTATCTCCAGTACCACCAGTAGCTCGGCTGGCTTCATCTCTGCCCCACAAAGTTCTGGATCTTCACATCCTTTTGCTCTCCCTGCATCTAGATCTGCCAGGACTCAGATCACTGATAGAGGACTCCTCTATCTGGAAGTCAGTTCATCAAGTCTCTCCTGCCTCCACTGTTCTCTGATGGTCTCATATACGAGTATGATTTTTATATTATCCAGATTAGTTTTTGGTGTTCCCATGGGAGCCAAGGTCTTCTGCGTCCTAACTGGAAGCAGCAAGTACCGAGAATGGTAGCTGCTATTTTTAGCACTAGAGGAAATTCCCTAAATGCAAGACGTCCTGGCCCTGAACTCTTAATAGTCAGCCTAGTGCCGAAGCTTGTGTTTCATCCAGGAGAGTTGAAAATGAGACCGTGCGGGTGGCTTATTTTTAAAGACTTAGTTGAGTTTCTAGCAAATGCTTTATGGGCCGCACTCCTATCTCTTTACCTTTACCATTTCGGGTCCTTCCAGGGCCCAGCCTCTATGTCTCTTTGCTTGGGGGTTTTCTCCCAAAGTCCACCCTGCCCATGTCCAGCAGGAACAGTCCTTACCAATGACTGGAGGAGGCTGGTGGATAAACAACCCGGTTCCCTTTCTCTTGGGTTGGATACCTTAGAGACCTGTGTTCTAGACAGTCTCCCATTCCCCCAGAAGAAGTAAATCCCAGCTGCCCACAGAGGTAACTTACTTGCTAAACACACTTTCCTTGGCTACCTTCTCTTCCTGGCCTCACTGACTCCCTCCCTGGCATGTCCTGGGGTCACCTTTCAGATCAACTCCCTGCCTTGGAATCACTGCCTAGATTCTCCTGTGGAAACCCAACTGAAGGCAGGCTTCAATTCAGATGTGCAACCTCTGGGTGCTACTTGGGTTTGTGTAAAGGGGCCAGCATGGATAGGGTGTTATTTGGAGCAAGGTGAAGTTAGCCAATGTTAGATGGACCTCTCCAGGGAACATCAGGCACATTTCGAGAATGCCAGGAGTGCTGATGCTGGAGTTCTTTATTATAAACTGGAGCCATCTGCCGGCCTGTAATAAACGGAATATGACTGTCCTAATCTGGGATGCACTTAAACTGTTTACTCTCTCTTGGTGGTTATGTCTTTAAAGCCTAATATGCACTGGATGATGGATTTAAATTCATAAGTACATTTTTTTTTTTTGCAAAATTGGCATGAAGTTCTTGCCACACAATATGCAAAATACATTAGTATGTTGCATCGAGAGTTGGTGTTCTCTCTCTTATTATTTTTTGTTTTTAAATAAAGCAAGCTTGTACCACAGCCCCGTACGCGTCTTGTGGGGATGCCAAGAACTGCTCTAAAAGCCACTTTCTAAGGAGCAATTTTCTTCTTGTCCCTTAAAACTCCCCAAAGCACCTTAGGCGAACACCAGAGCGCTGGGTATGTTTGCAAACTGCAAATACGGCAGACATTTAATTACATCGAATTCATCAGAACCCTAATTGAGACAGGAACTCAAACCTTACTGCTTAATTACTTTGATTTCAGATGAGTAACAGACTTGGTCATGAGCAGCCCTTCAGGCCAGAATACATTAGAAAGAGGCCCGTGGGCCCTTGCGGGGAATTCTCCCAGCCAAATGAAAGTGTGGAGCCACATAAATAACCATGCTAAGTGAGACCCATGATTGGATTTATTAATCAGTTCAATTCCCAATATCCATCCCTTGCTGTGGTGTTCCACTGCACCGGCCCCACCACCTGGGAATGCTTCTCCGTGTGTAAGGCAGGATTTATTTCTCACCGAGTTTTCCTTTCCCTCCCACTGATGAGACAGCATGGAGGCGAAGCCCGGTCCTCTGAGATCGCTCTTCTATCAACATCTCCTCATTTTTGATTTTCATTTAGAACGCCTTCTCCCTGACCTTCATTCCCTTCCCCACCTGGCCCCAGGGGGATGTTCCACCAACTTCTTGGCCAAATGATCACAGTGACTTATGGTGGGATTTGGAGGTGAGGACCTCATGGATCCTTATTCTTTTGAGAGCTGATAATGGTATCTTTTATTGAGCATTTACCAGGTAGGCTGACTCCTGCTTAATGCTGAACATGCTCTGTTTCACCCTTATGGCGATGCTAGGTGGTAGGTGGGCTTATATCCTCCCGCTCCATAGATTGGGAAACAGGCTCAGAGGAGTGATAAAGTCACTTCTCCAAGTTTTCATGGCCAGCAAAGGGCAGAGTCTGGATTCAAACCCAGGCCAGTCTGAGTCCCCGACCCATGTTCTTTCCAAAACATAATTTGCTCTGTCTGCAAAGACTTCCAGGATTCTACAAACTGCTGAAAGAAGAGAGGTGGATGGCCTTAGCAACCTCCAATTGGGCACGAGACAAGGAAAACCAGAAGGAAGTGCTGTGGCATCCAGAGTCATCATGCAGGCAACTTCTAACAACATCGTGGCGGCTACTTCTCTCCAAGAGATGAGCTTGCAAAGACCTTCCAGGTGGGGGAAAGTGACTGAGCACTTCAGCATGTGCTGAAGTTCAGGAAGCAATCTGCCTTTTAAGCAGGTGTTCTAACCAAGGCACTGATTAACCGCATTGCTAATAAATTATGAATACAAATGAATGCAAGCCACTTCATATGTAATTAGTTGCCTGGCATTTACTAGATACCTCCCTGTCATTTGTTTCATTTCTTTATGTTACTTCTCCCCCTTTGGGCTTGCCTTTCCATCAAGCCGCATGTACAAATGACTAATGCACTAATGACAACACGAATAATGGCCGGGCTAATAATCATACTGCTCATGGTGACAATGCTAATTAAGAGAGTGTGAACAGCAATAGCCTCTTCTGCAGGATGTGACTATTCATCTCCGCAGGGCAACGAGAAGACGGCCACAAGACGAGATCCACGCAAGTGTACCAAAGGCAAAGACAGAGACTGGTTTTTTGGTTTTTGGTTTTGGGGGGGGCACTAACAATATTTATAAGAGGTCTAAAAAAACACCATATTGTGGGTCCACAAAATCTAAGACTAGAGATGATGGATCAAAAGGATGAGAAAAAATAAAATGTCAGTAGCAAATTGGGCAGAACTCAGCCACCACGTATGGACACACCTGTGGGCTCTGGAGCCCATTCCTGGAGAGATCGAGGTGTCCCTCTGCCTGTCACCCAGAAGCAGCCAACTCATCAGGCAACCTGAACTAATCAATGGGCATGAAATGATGGCATTTAGAAACAGGCAGTGAAGAACAGCAACGGTGTCCCAGGTGCCTCCTGCAGAGACTCTCCAGTTCGAGTTAGAGAGACGGACAGGGTGGGCGCCCCTGGCTGGCTGACTGGACAGCACAGGGGCCCAGAAAAGGGTGTGGAAGAAGGTTCAAATGGTGCTTTCTTTAGCCTTCAAACCAGCCAACACCTTTAGCAGGACCCTGTGTCCTCCACAGCGAGGGAGCTGGTTAGGATCACCAGGCTCTTCAGTAATGCAAGCGGAGTGCCCTAAACGGGCTTCTAGAAGGTGCTTTTCCTAGAAGACATTCAAAGTCTGGCTGTCTGGGCAGAGCTCAGGATCAAAGTTCCTGTGAGGGAATTAGGACGTCGGAGCCGCAAACCCTTGGGTGCCTCAGCCTCGCCGAGGCTACCATTGAGCCTTGCACTTAGGTGACTTCTGGGTGTCTTCCCAGGACTTTCCAAACAGACACCAGACCCCAGGTGCCCCTGGAAGTAGAATAGCCTCCATAGACAAAATGCAGGCATGCAAAGAACCTCAGGATCCCAAAAGTAAGCTAAAGTAACCATGTAAATAAATTACTTGATGGCTGTCGCAAAGCTGTCCTCTGCTGTGACAGCTACAAATGGTTTTTAGCAGAAAAAAATCTGTCGTTTCCTCTCTCTCTCTTATCTGCTTTATTGCCAGTGAGTCAAAGCCATACCTTAAATCTTTTTAGGTCATTTCACTTCAGATCATGACATTCAAAATGAGCTTGACACCTTCAGATTCGTAGCCTGCACCTTCAGGCTGGTTAATTATTTATGTGGACCTGGGTGCTCTGTATGCCATCAACAAGGACACCAAACAATGGTGCCTGACATTTTCCAGTCCCAGGTGGGCAGCCTCCTGGGGCGTGAGATCCCATGTCACTGCTGCCCAAGACCATTGGCCCCCATGCTGACGGCGTTCCCGCCCCACCTCCACGCTGTCCCCTCCGAGCCCACGCCACGTTCTGCCGCTGGCCTTACCTGCCCAGCAAAGAGCCCACAGACACCGATGATGCACAGGATGTTGAACACCGCGGAGCCCACGATGGTCCCGACTCCCACATCACCCTTGGTGATGAAGACCCCTGAAACAGACCTAATGTCAACCGGGCTGTTGTGGCCAGTTGCATTCTAATGTGGGCGTGGGGTTGTTTTCACAAATGTTAGTTAGACAATTCTCAGGGTCCACGGGAAACGGCCGAGGATGGGAGAGAGTTTTAAAATCTGCACTGGGGCTATTGTTCCATGGAGGCATTGGCACAGGAACTGGGACACATTCATGCAAAGTGAAACTGTCACTTGAGCAAAATAGTAACAGCAACCACAGAGGGGTGGGAAGATGGTGTTCTGCTCCTTGGGGTCTTGAGAGTCTCATTTCCTATTAGCCAACCTGCTGGAAGCCTTTCTGTCCCCACAGTCCTTGTCCTTAAGAGAGGGCAGGGCTGAGATATCCCAAGGTCATCACCTACCTATGACGGATGTGAACAGCTCTGGGGCCGAACTGCCTGCTGCCATGAACGTGGCCCCGGCCACATCTTCACTGAGGTGCAGGCGCTACAGAGGAGCAAGGACAAAGCATAGGTGAGTTGGGATTCCCCTGGGAACAGAGGCAATCATGACTCCTGAGGTCCCGAGCTCAGGGCCTCCCATAACCTCCCCCGTCCCCCACAACTGGCCTTTCCTGCACCATCCCCTGCTGGGACACAGCTCCTCTGGCCATCCTCCTCAGGGGCAGGATCAGGGAGAGGGCTGCATATCTCTGTGAGTTAAAGGCTCTTGACAGATCTAGGAATCCCCAACCCAGAAGCCCCAGGTGTTGTGCAGACGACAGGGGGGAGTGCGGTGGGTTGGTGTGAGGCACTATGGGCATCTGCCTCCTTTCTAAAGGGTGTGCCACTCACTTCCCTCCATGTTGCCAAATAGCCTTACTTCTTAAGAGATGGCCAAATCCACATTTTTATGCAAACATCCTGATTTTTTTTCAATACTATGCATATCCCAGGCTAAATGAGGTAATCAGTTTGCAAGTCTTGATTCTAGGAGGTTACAACAGCTTTGGGGGTGGAGGGGTCACCCTCCTGAAACCTACTTTTCATCATTAATGCAGTTAGGAGAATAGGGGGGTGGGGTTGAGACCGAGTGGAAAGGATGAGGTGCCCTGTCAAGATGTCCTGTACAATGAACCCTCCAGGTTACTCTGTCTGTTAACCCAAAAGGTGATCTACAAGAAGATGAGACAAATATATATATATTTGAGGCTGGTCAGGGTGTTTAGCCTTTCTGCATTCAATCATGACCCAGAACGTAAGCTGCTGGCTGTCAGTAACTAGCCTGTTCCCTGTTGGGTCCCAGCCAGGAGATGCTAGTCTTGAATGACAACAGTCCCTCTTCCCAGCGCACGGGCAGCTGCACTTCCTTGCTCAGCCATGGAGGGGCAGCATGGCCTTGGCGTAGGCCACTGGCTCCCTGGACCAGCAACAGGCTGCAGTGGGAGCCCTAATGGAGCTCTTTGATCTGGAGTCCTGGGGATCCCTCACTCTGGACTGAACAGCTCAACTTCACATGCGACTCTAAGATGGAGGTGCTGATACCTCAAGTTGAAAGCTGTGGCTGTGAGGGGTGCAGGTGAGACCCCGGACATGAAGTCCCTGAAGGTAACCTAACACAGAGCTCACACTCATTGCTGGTCAGTCAAGACTTGCCAGGAGCTGTGAGCTTGGGACTGCTGTGTCTGTTCCAGCTCAGGGTCCATCATGGGCATTAGACATAGAGTCCACACCTTGAGCTCATTTCCAGTTCCTCTCTCTCTCCTTCAAACACTGAGTTTGCTTCTTCCCCCAGGTTTCCTTACATCCCCTCCTCTCTCATCTCTAATTCACTTGGGCCCTGGCAACAGCTTGCTGATGCTCCGAATCACCAGCTCGGGAGGAGTAGGGTCTTCCTGCCTCTGGACGCCTCTATCTATCAGAACATAGTTGTCAAGAGCCTTCCCGACTCCCTCCTGAGCCCTGGTAACCACTGATGCCCTAGCCTCACCTTCCCCAGGGTTCCTCAGAAGCCAATTCCAGTCCTGGGTTGTCCTCCCATGGTTCCGGAGCTCAGACTCTCCTCTGCACAAATATCCTTCCTTGAAATGTGTTGCCTTGAAATGTGAAAAATGCCTCCAAGGGCTGCTCCACTCCTGTCCCTGAACAAGCCCCTCCCTTACCCCCCACCCCAATCAAGCTGTCCCTCCCCTTTCCTCTCTCTCTACTTTCCAACTTCACAGAATTTCATCCAGCCCCCTGTGTGCCTCATCCCGGAGCTGCTCTGTGCCTTATGGCCTGTGGATGGCAAGGACCATGCTCTATTTCATATCATGTCCTCCCCAAGGGGGTGTGCTCACAGGTGCTACGGATTTCCTCTATGGAGTAGAACACCTCCTGACAAGAATACATATGTACATGTCTATGTAGGGTCGTAAATTTGTTATAAAAAAAAAAAGTTGTGTGGGAAAGAGAGTAGTTTGCTTTGCATAATGAATAGAGCACCACGTGGTGGTATTTCAGAGATCACAAATTACCCTGGTTACGGGTGCTTCAGCACCTCCCCTCCTGCTACATAAGGTGACCCTGTGCTCAGGTGACATTGCTTGGGACAAAGGGCTCCCACACGTGCCCACTGTCCATCTCAGATGCCACCTCATCGCTCTCCTTCTCCTTCTGCCCAATAAAGAAACCTCCTCCCGGGGCCCCTCCAGGGCTCCTGTGGTCTGATTCTCTTTTATTTATTTAAAGTACAAAAACCAAACAGATTTCTAGGATGTAGAAGAAACTGCTTAAGTGAACGATCTCCAAGTGTGGTTTCTGGACCAACAGCCTCAGCATCACCTGGGCACTTCACAGAAATGCAACTTGGGTCCTCTGCTGCCCCCCAAGAACTAATGAATCAGCCATTCAGGGGGGTGGGGGTTGGGGGGAGGGAAGAGGAAGAATGACCAAGGGGGAGGATGACTGAGAACTACACGAGGACACGAGTCCCAGATGGGAGGCGTGTCTGGGAGAGAGCCTTTTGGAAAACAGGATTCTAAATTAAAAATAAAGTGGAAAGCTTCCGGATAAAGGAAACTACATTTCAAAACAGACGGAGATGAAAGAGGCGAGAGAATGAAAGTGTTCTAAATATGCTGAATATTTTCTGATGAAAGGGCTGTCATTTGGTCTTCAACCTGACGTTCCCCAGGCTGAGTGAGAACAGAGTCCCTTTCCTGTTCTCTGTGGCCAGTTCTTTCATTGTCTCGCTTCTCGGGTCTCTGCTTGGCACATTTCTGCACATGTACAGAGAGGGGCAGGGTGGTGGAGGTGTGTGGCTGAAGACCTCTGGCTCTGCAAGGACCCCACGAGGGAGGTCACGGATGTGGAAGGAAACAGAGGAGGGGAAGATGGGAGATGTAGAGGTATTTAAAAGAGGAAAAGAGAACAGGGAAGTAGAACACAAATATCACCACGAGTTGTCAAACGGAGCAGGGAGAGCTGGCCATATGGGTGAAAGCCCAACTATGGGTCAGAACCCTGATGTTCTAAATGGACTGATGGAGTTTTGTGCTAATATTGTCAGTCGCTCAGATGCATGCTGATGTCTGGTGCTCCTGCCCAGACATGAAGGGCTCCCCAGGACCTCCATGAAGGAGGCTGGAGCAGCACATTGCACCCCCTGCCCAGACATGCTGAGAATATACGGCACTTACCTCACAGATCTTTTCCAAGGAGGGGACGAAGAAGTCGTCACACACAATGGCTAGCGCATAGAACATGTACATGGCCTGGAAGAGAGGAAAGAAGGGGTTAAAGTCAGAGTCAACGCAGAGCCATAGGGTGAGGGCCTGGCTACCCTCTGCTTCAATAACACCCTCTGGTACCATGGACACAACATCTCACTCAAAGTACAAAGACTGCAATGCCTGGGAGGCCCTCCGTGATCTCACCTCTCCTCTGACCTCATCATCTACCACTCTCCCCCTTGTCCACCAAACGTACTGTGGATGCCTGCCTCAGGGCCTTTTCATATGCTGTTCCCTCTGCCCAAATCACGCTCCCCTCAGATGACCTTGGCTCACTCCATCATGTCCTTCAAGTCTCTGGTTCAATGTCAACCTAAGCAAGGGACTGGGACTCCGCTCCCTCCCATTTCTCTGTATCCACCTTATCCTGATTTGTTTTTCTTGACATATTAATTTGTTTGTTGTCTGTCTTCCTCACTAGAAGTCCACGAGAATATGGACTTTATCTTATTTATCCCCAGGACTCAATAATATATGTGCAATGAAGGAATAAATAAACGAATACTTCAAGTGAGGCTGTTCACTGTGCTGTTCCCTGCAGGACAAGCTCTGCAATCTTGCTTCCTGTCAGCTATGACCAGAGAAACCCTGGAATTCTACTGTTTGGCCATAAATTACCTCTCTACCTATTTAACTCCAGGTTTCTTCTCTAATTAATAAATTCTTATTTGGATTCCATTCATTGTTGGTTGACCACCTAGCATCCATCCTTCACTCCGTCCTAATGGGACCCCAGTTTCATTCCAATATCCACCGTATCCCCTGGGAAGGTGACTCCACCCATTCCTCCAGGAGTAGATACTGACTGGCCAATCAGTATGCAGTGTTTCCCACTGATGGTGCAGGGGTGGACACATGACCTGGGCTGGCCCAATGAGACAGCAGGAAAGGTCTTTAGTCCTTGCCAGTGGGTGCCATTTCTCAACTTCTGGCACTGGTTATGGACAAGGAAGCTGGAAGTCCTGACTGCTCCTGGAGGCCATATTGAGGGAAATTGGACATGAGATGAAGTTGACCCTGAGTAACTTAATGCCATCACCAAGCCATTGAGCACATGGTGCTGGAGCATGCCTGCCTCTGGACTTTGTAACAGGGCATTCAGGCCAGTCTGATTTGGAGTTTTCCTGTTACTTGCAGCCCAAAGCATCAAATGGGTACAGTGGGTCATCCTTCAAGTTCCAGTATCCTCAGCAGTGACACCACTTTCATGTTTTCATCTCTCAACATCTTTTCCTTTTGAGCATTGCTCCACCAGACAGACCTTCAGTCACACATTCCCAACCTCCCTCAGCACAGGGTGCAGGCACATGACCCAGGCTAGCTGCCCGGATACTCCATTCTCTGTCACACAGTGGTGGGTGGGCAAAAGGTCTGCAAGGGGCCAAGGAGGGATTGACAGAGAAGCTGGGAGAGAGGGGCTCTCTCTTTATGAGATATAAACACCACCCAAGTCTGGATCTGTCCAAGAATGCAGCTCACATAGTAAGAAGACCATCGAAGAGATGGGACAGACAGACAGACACACACACACACACACAGATACATATATACAGACACACACATTTACACAGATAGACACACACATTCACACAGGTGCTCAGTGACACCACATGAACTCTGGACCCAGCTCAGTCTGAAGCCAAAGTCGACTTTCCAATTTCATGAGCCAATAAAATGCCTTTTACACTTAAGATGACTTAAGCGGAGTTTCTGTCACTCACAGCTGTCCTTCATGAAGGCTTCTGTAGCAACCCAAGCATGAAATGATCTCTCTGGCCTCTGACTCTTGGTTGTTGCACTAATTTAGCCACCCCTCCCCTACTTTATGAACTTGTTTTCCTTTTCACACTTATGTGCTTGGGCTCTCTGACCAGACTGTAAAATTCTAAAATGCATCTTACCACTTGATTCTGTGGAAATACCAGATGAGTGCACAAAAACATATGCAGTGGGGATATTCTCTCCAAAATGCTCACTATAATAAATTATAAAGCCTAACAAAATATACAATAGGGGATTGGTTATATAAACTGTGGTTCTTCATTCAATGAAATCCTGCTAAAAGAGGTTATTTAAGTCCACAGTTAAGAACAAGAAAAGGAATTTACAATACATTACTAAATGAAAAATATTATAAAACAGTGAGTACAATCTCTTTTTGAGTATTATCTATTGTATAAGCACACACACACACACACACACTCACATAAGTATATTTGCATGTAAGAGTTTGTAAGGCCATAAATCAAAATAGCTTCTCCCTCTGTTGGTGTGACTCTGTTTTTATAATCCCTATCCATATTTTCTGTTTGTCCACCTTGAATTTATATTTCTTGTGTGAATTTTGTAGGTGGTGGAGACTTTAGAACAAGGATTCTGTCTTACATGTTTCTAATCTCCAAGGAGCCTGGGATGTCTGGCATGCAGAGAAGCCTTAAAAATAACTTTTATTGATTGGTCTATTCATAATCTGTACAAAATTAGTTGTCTGTGGACTTTTGGGGGAAGAAAATGTCACTTTAAAAAAATTAATGCTATATTTACAGCTTGTGGATGAGTGAGAATATACATTCCCAAATTGCAATGGACTCAACCCCCCTTTTCCTGTATGATTTGGCTGATCCAATGATATGCGGGCTTTATCATTATCTTGAAAGGATAGACAGATGCAGTAATTGGAATACAGAATTGCACATTTGTGAATTAAGCAAGATCTAAATAAGCTGTCTATAGCTGTCATACTCAACTCACTGAAATAGCCAAGTCTGTAAATCATCTCTTTAAGACTATGTTCCAATATCATGTATTGATCCTGTTGTGAAGCAAGAAGCTCCATCTAACAACACAAATCAACACCTGGATTGGGTTGAGACGTGAAGAGGTCTTCCAGGCTCTCCGTGCTTTCAAGGGTGATGACTATCACATTAATTCCCCTGCACAGGGGAGTGTGAGATGGGGATGCCCACCCTCGATCAGATGCCCCTCTGGACACCTGAAGGGGCCTGCCAGGCAATGGGGCTCCTCTCCAGCCATACAGTACCTCCCAGCCTGCCACTTTGCTTGCAAGAAACTCTGCTCTAATTCCTGCCATGTTACCACTGGAAGTCAGGTTCCCACTGGAAAAACAAATAAAATAGAACAAAGTATTGATAGGGGGAGGTGCTGTGCAGGTAGGGGGGTAGGAAGGATATGAAAATCAGTACCTTCCACTCAATTTTGTTGTGAACCTAAAAATGCTCTAAAAAAGGGTTTACTACTACTACTACTAAGAAATAAACTAAAAAAACAAAAACAAAAAACCAACAGAACAAAGGAACCAAACAAACATACAAAGTCAACCTTGAAGATACAACCTTGAAGAACCTTCTTCAACCTTGAAGAAAGCCTGATGATATTGATAGCACCATCAATACAACTGGCCTGAATATTTTAGAGTGAGGCACTTTTGCATTAAGTTGGCCATTCCTTTATTTCCAAAGGATGTAATAATACGGTGATAATGACTAATAGCAATATTATTAACATTTGCTTCTATTTGTTGGGTCAGGAATGGCAGGCACATTCCAGGTACTTTATGAGGGCTGTCCATGTAATTTCTCTAATTCCTGGGGGAGGCAGGGAGTTACTGGCCCCATTTCCCAGATACCTCCGAGAGTACGGTAGCTTGTCCAAGGACACATGGACGGCAAATGGCAGGCCTTGGATGTGACCCCAGGACTCTCCAAGTCTCACCGAGGCCAGCTGCCTCCCCCAACAGAGGCCATTCCTGAACTGCTGTCCAATCGACACCTTCTATTTTCAGCTGGCCTACGAGTAAGCTGACCTCTCCAACTACACAAAGGGAGGGATGGTTTTGGAATCCCAGCCATCCACTTCTGGGGGCTGGTGGTCGGAATCACTGATGCTCTTTCTTATTTGTTTTTATTTTATAAGCTTAATTTTGATTACATTCTCACATACAAATATACCATTTACATAAATGTGCCAATGTGATCAGCACAAACAGGAGTAAACCTTAGTTACCTCTTTATTTGTAGCAGCTTCCTGTTTTCCTCTATAAATAAATGGACTATCCACCCTGCTGCAATTAACATCTTTAAACATACATCCTTTTGCATTTCTAGGATAAACTTCCAAATGCTGGAACTGTTGGGTGATGTTCTTTTTTAATATTATAATTTTTTACAAGGTATGCTAAAAAATACAGGACAGACTTAAACCCTCAAAAATGTTTGAGGTGAGCCAATACCCCAGGGCGACAGATGTGTGGCCGCGCCCCCTGGAATCTGAGCCTGTGGGTTGGCTACCGCCAGAACAAGCATGTGTGGGATGCTTTCCAGAAATGATGAGTGGGGGGTGTGTGCAGAGGAGAGGAGAGGAGGGGTCCATTTCAGCTTCAACTCCAAGCTCATGATCACAGGGTTCCTCACTTCCCTGAGGACTCATCTGGGCCCTCGCTGTGGGCATCTGTACTTTGGCACTGACTACGTGCTGCCTGGACCGTAAGCCCTGTTTTAAGTTCATGTACCTGGCTTCTCTTCTCTTGAAGAGGGCAGCAGCTGTGCTCTTCCCACATTCATACCCCATCTTAGGGCAGGCTTGCACAGAATGAGGGCCCTGTTTATATGAAATGAATGCGTCCAAGCAGGGCTGTGCCCACAGAATATGGTGTCACCTTTGGAAGCCAACAAGGGAAATGCCTGTGGAGCATTGACTAGCACAGCAGCTGCAGAAGGAGGCAGCCTGGAGCCTCGGAGGAAGCCCAGGATGGGGTCAAGGACCTCACATCAAATCCCCCATTGTGACCTTGAGTGACTGTCCTTGGCCTCCCTTAGCCTTCAACGCAAGACCAAACACACCATGCTTTCAAGTTAGCGTATGAGGCTACCATGGGGAGTACATGGAAACGGAAGAGCAAAAGGGCTTGGGTGTGGCCAGGCACCTCACACAGCAACATGTGCTGTGAGGATGTGCCCTAGCTA